GCTATATGTATATATGTGGGTAATGTGTGTTTGTGTGTGTGTGTTCAGCTCTTTTACCTCTTTGATTATCAGTTCCTCATGTATTTAGTTTATTGCTTTATTGATTTTTATTTTTATTTTTTTGTCTTTCATGCTTATTTGTGGAGCAGATCACGGAAAGGAAGAAGCTTGTTTCTTCTATGAAGAGTAGCATCACTCACTCAGAAAATCAAGTGACTTCTGACGTCGAGAAGAGCAACTCATTTCCATACACAAACTCCAATTCAAGCTGTATTAATGATAAACATAATGGGCATGTCTTTTCTGGGAGCTATGCCCATTCAACTGCTGATGAGGCACCTGATGTCCTTTCTATTGCTGCTATTAGAGGTTATTATGAAGGAGAAAAGAATCGTGTAGCAGAATTCACAGTTGAAAAGGATAATTTGGCGATGCTTTTTCCCAAGGAATTTGAAGAAAATGGTTCAGTGATAGATCAGCCCAATACATTACCATCTTCCTTTTCAAAAGCTTCTGAAATTGATGATTCAATAGAGGAAAGGATTCAGGAATTAACAGAAGAAAGTTTAGAAGTTGGAAGTGATGAAGGTCATGATCCTGGGGACGAAGATACAACACCCACTCCTCTAGCTGGGGCTAATGTCATGAACATCATACTTGTAGCTGCCGAATGTGCTCCTTGGTCTAAAACAGGTAAATTTCCTTAATTCCACCTCTAAACCCTTCAAGCATGCTTTTGTTTGATGGCAAATGTGCAATTTCATCTATAAGGAGTTTTGACAAAAAGCCTAGTTTTTCCCTTTTGATGGTCCTTGTGTTCATTATTGCATTTCACCGCAGTGATCCTAATTCTGAGGAATGTTTTTCATGGTTTTTCATAGGTGGGCTTGGAGATGTTGCCGGGGCTTTACCAAAGGCTTTGGCAAGGCATGGGCACAGAGTTATGGTAACTATGTCCTTCATATGATGATTTAATAGCTCAATACTGAGATCTTCAAATTCAATGGTTTTAAAGAAGTCCGTTGACCTGCTTTATTTTTTCTTTTTTTGTAGTGTAGTTCTACAAATTTAGGATACTTAAGTGGTCCCTTTCTTAGTACCAATTATTTATCCTGACAATTTAATTATTCTTCTCACCATAGGAGTCTAAGATCACCTCTCAAAGTCATAAAACAATGTGGATGATGTGGAATTTTTTTTTTTTTTTTTTTAAAATCTGTTTTAAAAAATCTGTTATAGGTTGTGGCACCAAAGTATGGTGACTATTCTGAACTCCAAAATACAGGGGTATACAAGAAGTATAAGGTGGATGGGCAGGTATGGAGCACCATCTATGATTCCTATGTCTAGTCGTCTTTTTTTTTTTTCTTTTTTTTTTTGAATTGCGTCACTCAGTTTTGTTCTTATTTCAATGCGAAACAATACTCAACTATGCAGGATGTTGATGTAAGTTACTTTCAAGTGTATATAGATGGTGTGGATTTTGTTTTTGTGGACAGCTACATGTTCCGCAACTTCGAGAGCAACATATATGGTGGAGATCGGGTGGTAAGATAACTTATCTTGACATATGATGGGCCTGTTGGTACTACTTCTAGCAAGCTGAAAACTGATAATAAAAAATTAGAAGCTAATAGCATCTCTTCCCTTGCTTCTCAAAATTAGTTTTTTTCTGATTATTCAAGCTATTTATGCCTCATAAGCTATAAGAAAAAGTTGCACCAAACACTCTTGGCACAAATTTTTAAAACAAAAAAGAAGAAGATATAAGTAGCTCCATAAGCTGCACCAAACATTCCTGATATGAGTTTTTTATAGTCACCATGATATGTCTGAAATTTTAGTGATACCACTAGGCATGTATCTTACTTAAACTTGGTATGCATATGAAGGGATGATATACTCATGTTATGAAATGGTTTTCTAGCTGTTAATTTGTTATTTTGTATCTGGAGCAGGAAATCTTAAAGCGTATGGTATTGTTTTGCAAGGCAGCTGTTGAGGTATGACTCTGGACTTGGCTGCATGTAAAGTATGACTTGGAAATTTTATGTCTGCTATCAGATATATATTTCCAAAACTTATGCTGAGTTTGAAAATGCCAGTATCAGAGTTCTAGTTGTTCATGTAAATGTAAATTGAGGAATGTAAGTAGTTGATCAAATGATTTAGTTACTGCAGAGACAATTTAAATTAATGAGGGAGAAGAAAAAATAATGATTGAACTACAAAACAGAAACAGCAGCTTGAGTACACGATTTCATACTGGCTTCTTTTGGTGATTTTAGCGACTATTGAAATAAAATCATGTACTTTGCAATTTAATATTAGCATAGACATGTTGTCTTGACATCATTAGAGAAAAGATTCCTCAATTGGTGAGATCATAATACATTCTCGATGACTTCAATCCACATTACCCAGATCTAACTGAGAAGCTAGATGCTGTCAGGTTCCTTGGCACATTCCGTGTGGTGGTGTTGGCTATGGAGATGGAAATCTTGCTTTCATTGCAAATGATTGGCACACTGCATTGTTACCAGTCTATCTAAAGGCAAAATATCGTGACAATGGCTTAATGAAATATGCACGGTCCATTCTTGTGATCCACAACATAGCACACCAGGTTCCTTTTCTAATAGTATATGCTTAAATTTATTGGTGTTTGACAAACTCGACAAATGTGTTTGATTGATTAAAAATTTATATTTCATGTGAGTATAGGTACTAAAATCTATATTCTGTATTTCAGGGTCGTGGTACAGTGGAAGACTTTGCTTATGTAGATTTACCAGAGCACTAAAGCGACCACTTTAAAATGTACGATCCAGTTGGCGGTGACCACTTCAATATCTTTGCTGCCGGTCTGAAAATGGCTGATCGTGTTGTCACAGTTAGCCATGGCTATGCTTGGGAGCTAAAAACTTCTGAAGGTGGTTGGGGTCTTCACATTATTATAAACGAAAGCCATTGGAAACTAAGAGGCATTGTGAATGGAATCGACATGAAAGATTGGAATCCTCAGCTCGACGTTCACTTCACTTCCGATGGCTACACTAACTACTCTCTAGATACCCTTCATGCGGGCAAGCCACAGTGCAAGGCCGCTTTGCAGAATGAGCTCGGTTTGCCTGTTCATGATGATGTACCTCTGATTGGCTTCATTGGTAGGCTTGGCTATCAAAAAGGCATTGATCTCATTGCAGAAGCAATGCCTAGGATTGTCGGTCAAGATGTGCAACTTGTGATGTTGGGCACGGGAAGACTGGACTTGGAACAAATGCTTAGACAATTCGAGAACCAACGCCGTGACAAAGTCCGGGGATGGGTTGGTATCTCGGTGAAGATGGCTCATCGGATAACTGCTGGTGCGGACATTTTGCCCGTGCCATCAAGGTTCGAACCATGCGGGCTGAACCAACTGTATGCTATGAAATATGGGACTATCATGTTGGTGGGCTGAGGTACACAGTGCAGCCATTTGATCCCTTTAACGAGTCTGGGCTCGGGTGGACTTTGGAGAAGGCCGAGACAGGCCAGCTGATGCACGCGTTGGGGAATTGCTTCCTCACCTACAGGGAGTACAAGGAGAGTTGGGAGGGAATACAGAGACGTGGGATGAGCCAAGATCTTAGTTGGGATAGTGCGGCTCAGAATTATGAGGAAGTGCTTGTTGCTGCTAAGTATCAGTGGTGATATATCTGACAATATACTAATAAATAAAGGTACCGGAAGTCCAAAATCCTATTACATGACGACTGATACAATATTTAAAACAAATTTAGGTTACTGTTGAGTTTTTTGGCTAATGTTTGAACAAATTTATATTTCAAACAAATAAAAATTTCATTGTATTCCTACATAGGGGTCTGTTTTATTACATTTTTTCTAGCCTTGGATGACTGCATAGAGCATCTCCAACGGTAATAGGCATTTTACCTATCTAAATATTACTATAAAGTATATATTTTATTTTGCCTATCAACTATTTCATATTTCTACTCCAACCATGCTCTTTATTTTAGCTATTTATCTAAATACTATTAATTTTAAAAAATGCCACATCAGCAACAAAGATGGAGGGAAATGATCCTAATGATTAAACTCATTTTGCCTAGCCTTGAAAGCTAGCTACATGTAGCTAGTGAATATGAGTTGAGCTAAAATGCCTAATCATATGCCTAGTGCATTGGAGTTGAAAAAAATGAGTTATACTAGGCATTTTAACTAACAAACATTATATACCTAGTGGGTTGGAGATGCTCTAACATGCTTACTCTATTTACACATACACAGACTAGTCTAAATTCATCACTAATTGACTCTCCATCTAGTGCTGGCTTGGTAATTACATTTTTCGATAGTTTTTTAAACATTTTTAGTTAAAGTTGTTGCTAAAAAAATTATTTTTTTGTTATTGGGAAAACTTCGGTGGGATTTGAATTTTGATATTTTTTTTCTTTTTACATTTTAAATTATTACAAATTAGAAGGACTAGAAAAGAAAAAAAAAATCAAATTTTTTTTTTAAAAAAAATAATGATTAACTACTTTGTTTGGAACACTGTCAACCAAACCTGTGCTTTTTTGCTTAACCAATCTAAGATGACTTTTCTTAGCAGTAATCAAACAGAGCTTTACTGTATGTTTGGGAAGACTAACCACTTTGTTTAGAACACTATCAACCAATTTGACCATAGATTAGAATTTTCTACCCAACCAGATTGTTCTAAACACTTTTTAGATTTCAAATTACATTTTCAAAAATTACACAATTGATGATCAAAACATAGTTTAAGAGTAAGATGTTTTCCAGACAAAATGCAGGGGTGAGCTATTGTGTGTGTGTGTGTGTGTGTGAGAGAGAGAGAGAGAGAGAGAGAGAGAGAGAGAGGAGAGTACAAAAGTATATTATTGCCATTCAACATGGATATACTTTAGAAAGTGATTCATGATCCATTACACAACAATATACATAATAATAATTTGTACAAACCAATATAAGCTCTAAAGAACCAATACATTAGATAGTATATATAACATAAATATATATATTTTTCTTAAATCCCATCTTCTATCCATCTCTCAAATCACAAAACATGTCCTCTGAAATTCCTCTGCCTCCGAACTTCAAACTCAATCCAAATATTGGATATTCAGATCAAACCTATCCTTTAATCCAAACTTGTTCAATTTCTCATCCGATTTCGATTGTTTTTCATCACAATTCCCATCAGAAATGGTGCTCCCTCTCCTCTTTCGTCCACTTGATTGATTAGGCCTCGGACTTAAATCCATGAGTGATAGTACAACAGAGTTGTCATTACACTTTTCTTGCATTCGCCCCGAGCTCTCTGACGATGAACATCCAGTGGTCCCTTCCACCAGATGATTCTTTTCTGCATCTTTTGGGCTTGGGCCTCCAATGTCCGTTAACACGGACGACAATGAACTCTGGCAGCCATTGTCAACCATTGAGACTAATTGGGATAATTCGGCTTTTGCTATTTCCACTCCAACTGATGATGCATTGTACTCGGCAAGTGTTTCTTGGGCTTTCTTTAACACCGATTGTAAATACTTTCCTTGTGCTTCGATTCTCAGCTGCAAATGTCTCTGTACCTGAAAACACAATAACAAAAAACAATTTCTTCATTGGAATGGAATCAATTCACCTTTTAGTAACCAAGAATTTTCAAGAAATAGAATTTGATTTAATTTGACCTCAATTTGTTCATGAAGTTTTCTCTGCACCTCCATTTGCACTTGTAGAGCCTGAGCTATCTGTAAACTACTGCTCAAAACACAAAACTTAATCAGTATAATGCCTTTTTTTGCTATGATTTCCATTTTTAATTCATCCAATTTGTGTAACTATGTATTATTACTCATTAATTTGATTAGGGGTTTCATCTCCAGCTTCCCCATTGAAATCAACATCTCTTCCTGGATCCGCTTCATAGTCTGCATAAAAGAAATCCATAGTCAATAAGGTTTTTTGAACATTAAAACGAGGCCGCAACAAGGAATTTTTTGGTGGGCCTTAGATGAACTGCTAAGTTTCCTATACTGTTGATCAATGCCGATCAAAACTTTCATGAACTTTCATTTAAGAAGAAAAAAAACAACTAAAATCCATTATACTCACCTTGTTGATTAATTTCTTGATAGGTCTCCGAATGTTGACTTTTCCCCAACCTATATTTCTGCAACAAGAAAACACTTCAATTCTTTAATCTATGGTATGATTAACAAAGATTGCTAAGCTCATTGCAAAATAAAATATATATATATAAAAAAAAAATTAAAAAAAGAAAAGAAAATTGCCTGTAAGTGGCTCTTTAGGTGGTACAAGGTGAGTCCAGGAATGCTCATCATCCTCATCAAGGCTTTAGGTGTTGCTTCTGTACATATACAAGCATCAATGGCATTAGAATCTATATATATATATATATATGAACATTACAATGTATGAAAAGAATGAAAGTGATCATAACTGTCTGCTCCTCCAAACTGAGTGACAGCATCGACGAATCGCCGATGAAGCTCTGGAGTCCATTTTAGCCTAGGCTTTGCATCACTGGATAGAACCAAGCTTGTGTCTTGATTTTGCACATGTTGTTGTTGTTGATGACCCATGGTTCTGTTTTTAATGTTTTCCTTTTTTGCAAAAACAATGGATAAAATGAAATGACAAATAGAGTAGTAGTGGATTTTTTTTTTGATCCTCTGAGCTCTGGTTTGAGTATGTGGCAGCTGTAGTTTCTCTTTATAATTGGGGAGTTGTTGGCATGGCATGTCCTATGTTCTCACTCCATATCTGGAAACATATGTGGGGTTATGCTGGGTGGAGGGAATATATGCCATGAGCTGTGGCTCTTCTTTTCCCTCTTTTCCCTCTTTTCACATTTCTACATCATTTTGAATTAGTCTATAAATACAGAAATCGGTCACAGAATCAGATACAAAATGTATTTAAATGGATAATGTTTTTCAAAAGAGGACCTAAGTAAGAAACCCTGTAAATTTTTGTCTATTCAAGTGTATTCTATGGTGTTCTTTTCTCTCATTTTCCATTTCCACATTAAGTCAAATAAGTCTATTAGTACAGAAATCATTCTTGAAATTAGACATAGAATGTATGTGAACGGATAAGATATTTTAAAAGTAAACCCCACTAACAAATCCTGTAAAATTTTGCCTATTTACGTGTATTTTGTGTCTGATTTTTGTGATCACATAATTGAATTAAGTTTCTTTTTCTTCTCAGTTTTTCCATTTTTTTTTTCTCTTCTTCTTTGACTTGAAAGAGGTGAAGAGAATCCATGGTGCAGCAAAAACAGAGAAAGCAAAATAGTTCAATTTTGAGTCTTAAAAGGAGAGAAAAGAGGAAAAGTGTATGGTTTGTTTTTATCTTGATGTTTTTTTTTTCCTCTCTCTTTCTCTCTCTCTCCTGCTTGATTCCCTGCTGAATTAGGTAGCCCCACCATAATGAATAATGGTTGCAACTTTTCTAAATCTCTAAGAAGCTTTGAAGAGAGAAGAAAAAAAAAATGATGGGATTGCTTTAATTGATATTTCTTTTTAGTGATTGAAAGGGATAACCACATGAGTTTTTCTTTCTTTAAATTTTTCTTTTCCTTTTTTTATTTTCTTTTTTGAGAAGGGTGTGGTGGGATTGGCAGATTCTTTTTGTTCTATGTAGGGATAGAAGAATCAAAGAATCTATCATTAGATTTTAGGACAAAGTTGCCCTGTTTATGCTATCAAGAAATTATTTTTAAAAAATGGTACAAGTGATCCAAATTGGCCATTTATCCAAAATTAATGTCAGAGTCAATGTAATGACTAATGACTACTTGTTGCTTATGCTTCCTAGCAATTACTTATCGGCGGGGGGTTGATCCGGACTACTCCTATATTTATTAATGTAAACTGTATTAGCATTATTAAAATAAAAAAATAATATCCAAAACATTCTTAGTAATTGCATTAGAAATGTCGAGAATGTTTGGTTCAACTTCTAGCAAGTTGAAACTAATAATTAGAAAGTAAAAATTAAAAATACCTCCCCCTCAACTTTCAATAATCATTTTTTTACAATTTATTTGATTTATTTTTGTCTCATAAGTTGTAAACATAATTGTAACTAAATAATCTAGCACAGATTTTCCCAAAAAACACTCATAAACAACTCCATAAGCTACACCAACCAACCTCATCATATGTCTGAAAACAGGGAAAATTAGGATGATGATACTATGAATTGTAAATAGACACTAACGCTCCGTTTGAATAGATTGATTTCAAATGAAGGGATGTGAAGTTGAATTTTATAACATAAACAAGATTACACATCACATTGCAGTAGATTACATGAATCACATACTCAGAATGATCTGGCATCCTATGGAAGCACAGTGGTACAATAATACAAAAGCAAATACAAATAATTGTTGAAGCTTTTCTCTTGAGCACACAATGAATTTTAGGGCATGACAAGAAAAAAAAAGGTCCACATAGTTTAATGGCACTGTGCTTTCTTCTGATATGAAATGAAAGCAATCCACAGGACCTACTCTGCATAAAAGTTCTGCAACAAAACATATTCCAAAGGGTCAGCCTTTTAATAAGTCTGTAATCCACATCCATGAGGAACTGAAGAAAGAAAATTTCACCAAAGATTAAAAAAGAAAAGAAAAAAAGAAAAGAAAAGGGAAGGCCACAATGGCGACCAACAAATCATAAAAGTCAATTAAATCAGATTGATCTTTGGATTTCTTGGATTGCGGGCAAGAGTTTGATTGCTTGGAATAAAAATCCAATGATTGATCTCCAAAGAATTACCGTCTCAGTGCCATGCCATGCATTCAGCTGGTCTGCTGCTTTGATTAAAAAATAATAAAAATTAGGATTCGAAAGTGAAAAATATCAGACACTAGGTATTAAATCAAATAAGATATAAGAGAGTAAGATATTATATTAGTATAAAAAATAAACAAAAGATAGATTTCATGAATGCCTTCATGCAAGTGTATAGTATATCTACTGTTATTAGTTTAAGAATCAAGTCAGTTGTGTGCATGATTTGGCATACCCGTTAATCAAATCAATACAACAAATCAATACAAGTGTAGAATCCTAAGTTGCACTGCAACTTTCAGTCAAAATACATTACTTTATAGGCCTGTCTAGACTAGATGAATCTATAAAAAAAATGAAAAAGGTATAGCAAAGAAAAAATAGAGCCATTTTTTTTATGTTTTTTTTTTTTTTGGGTGACAAAATTTGACCAATTTTCATCTTTTGTGATATTTTATTTAATTTTTTATTTTCAAGGTTATCTTGTCTAGAAGGACCTAAAAGGTTAAAAAAATTCACATTTCAAAAAAAGTTCACTGAAAACTAAAATAAGGTGAAAAAAAGTTAACTTATAATCCGTTGCCGAAGGAAGTTTATTCATGTGCTTATATAAGGCTGTTATAAGTTTACCATCATCTTTGTACTAATGTAATTTTGACTTAAAAAAGATCTGCAAGATAAATCCGAAAAGCAGTGGGTCCAATCTCACATGAAGAAGTTTTATCATTTTGCATGTTCATCATCCCCAACAGTGTTATTCCTTATTGGCAAGCATAGACTTAAAAACTAAAATTAAGATCAGGGGAATATAATTATGATATATGTCACTATGTGGCCCGAATGTTTGAAAACCAAGAAAAGAAAAGAAAGGAGAGTTATTGATGTACCTTTCTCTTTAACCATCTTGATGTACTTGAAGCTCCTTTCACGCTTTAATATGTTCCATAACAAGTAAAGGAGATTCTAGGATGATGCCAAACGACCCCCTGGTATTTTTAGGTCAGTAGTAGTAGCCGAAGAAGGTCCAGTGAATCAAAAGTCATTTTAAACAAAGTTGCCTTCTCATCAATTATTATTCTTCAAGGGACCCATTAGAGAGATCTTACATATCCAAAAGCAATGGAAAGAAGATGAGAAGAATATGGCCTCTGGAATCAGAAAAAGCGAATCAAAAAGGAAATAGTCACTATAAAGAATAATTGCAATTTTTATCATTGTAATTCTCATGGATCCAACATAATTGAACGTTGAAAGTGACGTGAGCAATATGTCATGTATTGATTTCTATCTCTAATTGTTTTTGCTTTTCTATCTCCTAATTATCTTGGTAAAATTTTGTTTTACAAAAACGAAAAGGACAAGAATGAAGCAACCATTTCACCACCAGCTGTTAGTACAAGTGGTATTTCCTCACTAATAAAACTATTGAAAAGAAAAAAGAAAAATTCATGTTCAAATGATAGTCATGGTTATTACTGTTGATACCAAAGTACATAAAGCCCCTGCTGTTATTATTTGAAATTTTAATAGCAGTAAACCAAAATAGCATGGTTTCATTCCTTTCTCTGCCCAAACAAACCCCCAATGAACATCTCATGCATGGATCACAGACAATAATTCACTCTTTATCACCTAATATTCTGAGTGTACCTGAGAACTTTATTGGCTAAAGATCTAAACCTTCCAGTCAAGAACTGAATATATGTATTATGCTAAAAAGATTATAGAATTCAAGGCCACAAAATATGTGGCTTATATTAGAAGTGCTAGATATGTTGGCATTCTTCATCAAGACACAAAATCCCAAACTTCCTCAAACGGTATATCAGGCACATCTTTGTCCAAGACCCTACATATTATTCAGAAAGACAAAATAGAATCATGTGGAAATATTCCCTTGAATAATTTGGACAAAATTTACTAATATCCGATAAAATAGTACACCAGCCCCTTCTTATGGCCTGTTGTTGACAGGATTCAGTCCAGGACACAGCATATTGAGCTGCATGAAGAAACTGAGCAACAAGTGACACTATACAATAGAGGAGGCATCACTAGAAGTTAATTTTCGCAAATCCAGTGTTTTTTTCAATTTATTTATTTATTTATTTATTTTTAACACTTGATCATTTCAATTTAACACTTACTACAGCAAAAGAACCTCAGTGGGGCTTGGTTACTTTATAAGTTGCAGCAATTAGCAAGAACAAGTCTAGAAGGGCATTGGGGAAACCTTTGAAGCACGGACACTTCAAGACAAGTGTCGTAGCCATGTCGAACACCCAAACTGACATGCTCCTTAATTTATTTAATTATGTTTTTGGGAGACATGCCGGGGACACCCCAACTAGTTTTTGTCCCCTCTTCTTTGGTGCTTTAGATATTGAATACTTATTACTTTTGTCTTTTTATGAATGATCTATTAATTATTAAAATCTTTTTTTTTTAATATTTGAACTAGTTTTAGTTTTTATTTATTTATTATTATTAATTTTGATTATTAGTGGATATAATATTAATTCACATAGCAAATAAAATATATATAATACATAAAAATATTTTTTATTACCGTGTTTGTGTCCTCATTTTTTTGAAATCACAATGTCCCATGCTCATGTTCGTGTCCGTGTCCGTGTCCGTGTCCGTGTCCATGTCCATGTCCATGTCCATGTCTGTGCTTCTTAGGAGAAAACCGTAGCCTAAGTCTGTTGAACATTCACTTTGCTCCTGTCTTCCTAGTCCTCTATGGTGATGGATTGCTCAATGGAGAGTAGTACCATCATATTCCAGTATGGCGTGTTTGGTGAAGGGAGGGTTAGGCGATGTTGGATGGTTGTGAAGAATTTGTGCTAGTTTTGGCTGAATAACAAATTTGTTGAACCTCCACTGTGACGGGTTTGGCACTGGCACCTCAGCCGCAAGTTGAGAGAGGGTGTAGTGAGTAAAGCATGCTGGTTGGTACTCAATCCGGTGCGTAGTAGTGCTGCAACTGTCATGAGGTTGAAAATGGATGGTCACCATGCTTGGTTGAAGCACATTGCTAGATGTGGATTAAAGCCTTTTAAAGGTCTCTTGGCACCACGTGACTTTTGATTGCCCACAGTAAGGGTGGACATGGGGTGGGTAGGGCCTATGCTACTAATAACCCAAAGAATGCAGTTGTCCAAGCCTGGCCTGTGACAATTCTTTGGTGAGCAGTGGCATTTGTTTCTTTTACTTGGGATTGTGTGGTGCTTGCTAGGGTGTTTACCTATGTGTGGGTTGGCCTTTTGTTGTTTACTTTGGCTTGTTTGTGTGATTTTATGGCTTGTCCCTTGGGTTGTGAGAGAGGCTTTAGGTGTATTTGTGCATTGCCTGCTGCAGGTTTTTTTTTTATCATTCCTTAGGCTAGGTGTGTGTTTTCTCGTTGGAGATGCGTGACATGGCCTATGTTTATTCTTCAGTACTTTAATCTTATATTTATTACTTACAAAAAATAAATGTCACCCCCCCTCCCCTTTTGAATCACTCCTCCCTCCTTTGAAAGATCACCAAATCCTCTCCCTCCAAATACACCACATCAAACAAAATAGAAAAGCATTCCAAGCTTCCGTCCTCCTAAGATTGTCAATTGTAAGAATCTTTTCATGAGCTGCCAACCATCCCAAATAAATACCACCCAAAAGGAATCTTAGCAATCCAGATTCATTTCCAAGGCAAACCCTTATTTCACGAATCAACAAACCTTGAACGAAGTCTAACCTCAAACCACCCTTTCCAGAGACCCTCACCAACATCAACCCCCCAAACTCAAGAAGCTAGCCAGTACAGAGTTTCTAGGGCTCACTCTGAAAACTAACATCCCAATTACCTTCGCTACAAGCAATGGTACAATACTTTTCCACCGATGCCTCCTTATCCACAGTTGTCTGGAATAAATTCGGGAAAGACTTTTTTAAAGCAGCTTCCATCTTTGGTGCTAGAATCTCACCTGAGTCCCGTCCTCATATGAAAGTACATATACTTGTAGATTCTTCCAACACCTTCCTAATGCTTCCAAAGGACTAATACCAAAAGAAGGATTCCATCTCTACAACGAATACCAAAAGAAGGATTCCACATCTACCACAATGCTCCAAAAAATGTCACGTTTAGATGTGAAAACAAACTTCTCAAGCCCGGCTTAGTGAAGCAGTAACCCATCAACATCCTAACTCCCAATGGAGGGGACTACAGGCCCAGCTTGGGGAAGCAACAACCCAAGCATGGATAAGGTGATACTTTGACAGTGTTGAGCTTTACCCATCCACACTCAAATAGAACCTCTAAATTAATAATCCAAAAGCATCAAGAAATATTTGAATACAGAGAAGTTCACTATTGATTTAGGAATTGAAATTTCTTTGGTACGTTCAACACAAAAGCATTGTCAGTTTTCGTTGCATGATAGAAGTGCGCTGAAATCAAGCTTTCATTGCTCACAGCCATCTCAAATTTAACAAAGTTCTAAGATAATGCCGGAAGTGAGGGGCAAAAAAAGAAAACTTTCTTGCATGTGAATGTTTGCTGCACCTTTTTATCAAACTAACTAACGTTAGTGGAGAAAGAAAGTAATAAAAGGATATCACAAGCTTCCATCTCCATCAACAAAAATTATTAAGATGAATGTCAATAAAACTACAAGGAATTAAACAAAAGAAGACTGTTTTCACATTCAATTAATGCACTTAATTTCTTGGTCTCTTTTTTTGTCAACAAGGAACCTTACCCCACACATCCTGTGTATGGGTTGAATAAACCCTAGATACACTCATGCAACCTCAAGGCACAAGGTAGGACCAGGCATAACAACTAACAAGAATTTAAACCAAGACACCTGAGTCTACAGTTCATTCCAGAGTTAGCCCTTAACCACTGAGTTACCCATGCCGATTAATGGCTTCTCATTTATTTGAACAGAATGTTTGTAAAACGAAACTTATATTCGAGGATGAAGTCATTCGATTTTAGATACTAATCACACTCATTCAGATTAACCATCTTTCTCCTTAGTTTCACATCAAAAGTGATCTTACGCTAATTCAACATGATACGAATTAACTCTTCCTAACTAGGACCGGTGAGACACAAAGTAGCAAACAAGAAAGATAAATGAATCGAAGAAATCAAACACACACAAGACCATTAGAATTTACATGGTTCACCCCAGAATAGGTCTACTTTTATGGCTGTTGTAGTTTTCACTATGAATAGAAACAATACAACTCTCTTCAGAAAAGAGGCACCCCCTTCATCTATTTATAAGTATAAAATTAGTGAAGCACTTCGACTAGCCGAGATAAAATAAGACTGTGGACCCAACACAACAATGCCATTTCCACCATCAAATTCAACCTAAAGTTTGAACAAATTCCACAACATGGTGATTCTGTGAAGATCAATCACATCTGTAATAGCACTGCATTTCTAACTAATACCTCGTGAAACACCCATTATACAACACATCAATATAAGCAAAAAGTGAGTGGTCCAATCCCACATCAAGGGCAAGGCCGAATCTTTACTGAATTTTGAAAACAGGGTTGCTTTCTAATGCATTATGATTCTTTTCTTCTCTTCTTTTTTTCCCCATTTCTTTTGAGATTGGAATCAGAACTGGGGTCAGTGAAATTCTTTCAAGGGTTTAAACACCCAAATGATGAAACTTGATCAGTGATTACTAAAAAATAAATACAAAAAATCAACTTTTTAACCAAGAACAAATATATATGACAAATGGATAAATTATTAGATGATGATGGAGTTGGAATGCAAAATCTTTAAACAAAGTAATACGAAAAACTGAAAGCACCTGGAAGTTCAAAATAGACTTCGGCTTTAAAACTGTGATTGTTTTCAGGTTCGTATCCCTGTGTGCCCCCTCCTGAAATCAACAAGAAATGCTTCGGATTCCCGAGCCCTAGAAATCATCTACTAGATCTAGAACACCACGTAAAGATTCTACTGGTCTGTAAAATGAAATTCTACTTCTGTTTTTAATTTTAGGGTCATATCTAAAATTCATTTAGTCCTTGCTCGTTATTTGATTCAATAAGTTATATGCACAGTTCAAAAAAAAAAAAAAATTTAAAAAAAAAAGTTTATATGTACTGTAAAAAAAATTAAATTGTTTAGTTCAAAAAGATTAAAATTCTTTTAAAATCAACTCCTAAAAAAAAAAAAAAGAAAAAAAAAGAAAAAGAAAAAAAGAAAGAAACATTATTTGGACTTGTTTAAAATCAACTCCAAGTTGTTTGGACTTGTTTCATAAATTTATTAAAATAATGAAACATTATTTTTTGGTGTTAAGGTAAGTTGTAATACTGTGAAAATTGACTCTATAATTCATGATCTTTTTGTTGATGTTTTTAACTGTTAATATATATATATATATTATATTAGTTAATTTTTGCTTCAAAAGTCAAATGAGTTTTTCATGTACAACATGAGTTTCTTGTCGATACTTTAAAACTTTAAATCATCCAACTTTAATAAATTTTTTTTTTTTTTTTTTTTTTTAAATTTTTTGTAAAAGGTCCTTTGGATAGGAGGCACTTCTCAATATGGCTTACAAGAGTCAAAATGAATGACAACCATTCAATAGAAGTCTTCTTGTAATTATACACATTCCAATATTGAAGGTTGTAAATAAAGTGAAAACTATATTTAAACCCCAAAAATGATATATATATATTTTTTTCCTTCCTGGTATTCAGTTTCTTTCAATTTTAATTATGCATTTTTTTGTGCTAACTTCTCTTTGCTTTATATAAATTGCCCTAACTTTCTTTTAGCTCTATGACTACCATGCATCTTGTGTAAATTAAATCATACCATCTTGTTTTACAACATTTCAAAAAGTCCATCTAAAAACTTGATTCATATCATTTTTGAATTTTATTGTTTTTGTTTTTTATCTTTTCGGATAGAAAAATTATTAAATGTTAAAATACACCCATCTTTTCTCATATTATCTTCAATTTTGTGCAAAATATAATTTAAAAATTATTTTATTTTGTTCTTCTAAAAAATGGGTGTTTTAGAAAACTTTTCGGACAAATAATTTTTAAAACAAAACTTTTTGTCATTTATTTAATTATAGAAGTGGAAAAACAGAAAACAGCACCAAAATTTAAAGGAAAAAAGAAAAAGAAAAAGAAAAAGAAAAAAAGAAAAAAAGAAAAGAAAAAGTGATGGAGATCATAGGTAGTGATTGCGTAATATGTGATTGACACCTCTCAGGTCCACTTTACTTCCACCACTTACAAGTCTCTGTCTGCTTATCCTTCTCATCTTTATGAAACACTTGACTGTGTCACCCTGAGAAAGGGAAATGATACCTCCTCTAAAAATAAAATTTTAAATAGAGTTTTATATATTTAATAATGAAAATAAATAAATAAATAAGACAAAAATATTAGAACTCACAATTCCTAAAGTTCTATTAGAGCTCTAAAATAAATAGCATGCCCCAGTTCGAACTATTTATAAAAAATAAATAAAAAAGAAGAAAAGAAAATTGATTTTCATTATTGACATTACATTGTTCCATAACAAGATTAACAAAAATAAATAATAAAAAGTATGTAGCAGTCTTTTGAAAAGGTCCATTATTTTGCAGTACAATAATTATAATTTAAAAAAAAAATCTTGAAATTTAGCAATGTTCTATGGGTCACGGAAAGATCATTGTGTTTGGTTCCTGTTTTTTAAACTCATTTTTTTGAAAATTTTGAAGTTTTGTATGGTTATTTTGAAGACCAGAAAAAGTTTTTTGAAAACTAACGTGAGAGTATTTTTTGATATGAAAAATTGTCTATCTTCTTAAATTAGAGGGAAACATGAATTTGCAATTGTACATTTTTTTGAAAACCAAATAAAGATCATTTTTCAAAATAGAGTTTTCAAATCACTTTTTGAAAAAATAATTTTAAAAAATAGAACCAGCATGATGATTCTTTTTGTAATCGTGATATGCTTAAACTCAATCAAATTAAACTCCGCTATTTGAGAGTGTTAAAGATTGTACTCATCTTACCCTTTAATAAGAAGTTCGAATCCTCAAAGTAATTTTAGAATAATTTTTTTGATACATTAGAAAGTAAAATTGCTATTGTACTATTAATTTTTGTAGAATTAAATTTTAATTATTTGAAATAATGTAATTTTAAATTATTCTAAAAATATTCACTGTAAACCATCTAGACTCCTAATACACTCACAAGTTATGAGGGAGAACAACCTCTACAAAGAGGCTCCACATTTTTTGAATGCCAACAAAATATAAAATTGCACCAAGCAATATAAAGTACAAGTCAACCAATACAAAACGTTAATTTAAATCTTAGATTCAAACATAATCAGTGAATTAAAACGTGACAATAAACATTCTGATGAAATAATCATTTTATTCCACCTTATTGCAATATACTAGCCACTTCATAAGTTTACAACTTCATCACGACAGAGGAAAATCAACAACTTAGAACATGCCAGGTGGCAACTTAGGAGTGTGGTGAGTATTAGCTCCAGGATTATAGTCATGGACTTCCAAATCCATCCTGCTAGTCTTATCTTCTTCTACAATTTCCTCCCTGTTCATCTGTTCCCACAAAAAGTAAAAATTGAAATCCAACATGTTAGCTATATATGATATTAGGGCTCTTATATATCATCATATTTTTTTTACCCTTTTGTATGATTAGATAATGACAAGATATTATTTGTCAATATTATTTTTTTTAACAATTATTTCTAAATAAGAAACAGTTAATAATTAAATATCTATGTATGCAGTGATACTAAACAATAACAAAAAAAATTTCCACATATAGTATTTCTTTCTTTTTATATATATATTATAGTAAGACTAGACATTAGAATTAATTCTCAAAAAAAGTATTTAGATTAGATTTTCTTAGAGGCGGCACTCACAAAACATTAGTGGGGTGTTTCTTTGGATGAACTAGATAAGAACGGATTGCAATACAATAAATTATTAGTTCTAAATAAATAGTCTTTGAACTATTTAGTTAAAAATGATGTGCATTTGATTATTAGTCTGACATTCATTAAACTAATCCAACAATGGATTAGTAAATTTATTAGACGTGAAGTCCAACCCCACTCCTCAATCCCTTGAAACAAACGAATTATCCATCCTTACACTTTTTGAACAACTTTTATGGTTAAAATTTTGGATTCTAACTTTTTTTCTACTTTTTAGAATGAGAAATCTTCTCAATAAAGATTACTTTTTAGACTCATTCTTGTAAAGTAATTCCATATCTTTAAATTATTCGCAAATCACATGCATCAATTAAGTTCAAGAAACATCAAAGAGAGTTGAACACTACACTTCTCAATTTGCATTAGCTATATTTCATCACCTTGGATTTAAAATCAAGAGTTTATTTTACAGATAACAAAAATTCAAATGTATGCATGCATGTAATTTTACCTGGTTGGTGTTCTCAGAAGCTAGAAAATCTTGACTTTGATGCAAAAGATGACTAGCCCCTGCAATTAGCCAAAATAAGAACACAAGAACATGGCAAATTAAGCACTTCAAAGTACCTGATTAAGGAAGTGTTGAAGAGTTACTTGGTGTTGTTGTGACAGCAGCATTCAAGGACATGAGGAGAGAGAAAGAAAGTAGAATCACTAGCAGATGATGAAGAAGGGCATTGCCGGCCATTTTTTTATTGCACACTTTTTTTTGTTTAACTTAAGGGATTGGTGTAATAATGTGCAATATTCCACAATGCAGAGCTACTTCTCCATTTATACATGCATGTTTTATACAACTTTTTGGATGTGTAGGTTGTTGGAAGTTAGAAAGATACACATGTCATGTCACCAAGTCAAAAGGCACCCACAAAAATATATATATATATATATATATCTTATGGAGGAGGATTACCTAACTTATGGTTGGTTTGGATTGTGATTTTTTATTTTTTAGTTAGAATACGAGCTGAAAAAATCAAATATGTTTAGAAAGGAGTTTTATATACATGTATATAAATACAAAAAGTAGAGTGAACGGGAATTTTTTTTTTTTTTGATAATTTTATACGAGATCAATTTTTTTGAACTTTTGACTTTTTAAATAATTTTTTTAAATAAAATAACTACTTGCCAAACAACTCCTTATCCTCAACTTCTTCCCTAAAAATTCAGGAAAAAAAATAAAATAACAACAACAACGTTCAACACACGAGACTGCTACTACAGGGTTTGGAGAGAAAGTGGAAATGTACAATGGTGTTGAAATTTTTGGACGGACAACCCATGTTGTATGTGTACCAAAATTATTTTATATTATTGCTATCTACTGTTCTATATCAATTGCCACTGCAAGGCTTTTTTCGCTTTCAGGTGGGATTTGACAATTTTTAAAATTTTTTTTTTTTAAAATTTAAGAAGTTGATGTATTTGATTATTTTTAAAAAAAATTATTATTTTAAAGTCTTTTGGAACTTATTTTTTCGTGAGAAATTATCATATTACTTTTTATTATTATGGAGCCTTTGTACACAATAGAATTTTTGAAAGTATTGAGGGAAAATTCAGTTTTTCATGAATTTGCTATAAATAAAATAAAAAAAAACAGTTAAAAAGCTTATTATTTTAACTTTTTTTAATCAAAAAAAAAAATGTTTAATCTCTCATGAAGATTTTTTTTCACACTGTTGCTTGGGATTTTTTTTTCTTCCTTACTTTTGGAGGTTTTTCTCACTTTAATTCTCTGACATTATTACAACTCAATCCATGACATCTATTTATATATAAAATAGATTTTAAAAAAATGTATTCACATTATAATGCTTATCAACTTGGGAAATCTAGAACTTTAATTCACCTAGAAACATACTATGATACATCTTTTACATAATTACATAGACCTCTTTTTAAGTTTGAAAAAAAAAAAAAAAATTCTTTTTGTTTTTTTACAACACGTTATCCAGGCTACTGGCTCAACTAATTCAAGAAATCAATCTCACTGTCACTTGTAGGGGTCCCAACTAAAATCA